ATCTTTCAATACTGCTTATGTTTTTTACTCTGTAAAAAATGTGCAGAAGTCAGTCCTTGAAATAATTTTCCCGAGATAACGATTTCACTGTACTTCATTGATGAAGCCATTACTGACTCTGGTTCTGCAATCACCTTCTTCTGGAGATCTGCACCTACACAAGATTTTATCATATTAGATGAAGGAAAAAAAATTCATTATGAGCTGCAGTCTAAATGGTTATGAAGAGTGGAGAATACTGAAGCCTACAATTAGGAAAAAAAATGCAACACTCAAGCCAAAATTAGTTAACCTCTACAAAAAGCAAAAGTTATCTCTCACCTGGTATTTTCTTGTAGAAAGGGCAGTGTTTTTTTCTTGTTCCTTCACCTGTAGTAGGTAATTCTTTAAATTTTTTTCTCCACCTTCGTTGGCCACCAGAACTTACATCTGCCAAGGCTGCATTTTTACTTGAACTTTCTATAACTGCTTCTACATCTTCCATAGACCCTTCAGCTTTCCTTTTTAGCTGTCTGGCCCTCTTTCCATTGGGAGTTACTGAACTTGATATCTGCTTTCCTTCACTCAAACGAGTCTCTCCTTTGCTCTCCTCTTTTACTTTGGGTTTTAACCCAAAGAAAACACCAATGTCCATTTGTTTAAGTTCTTTGGCAGAACTGGATTTGGCATTCATACTTGCTAAAGAAAGAGATGACGCTGTTTTAGAGATGGGGCTGGGAAAGCACACAGCAGCTGTATTATGATTTCCTTCTTTCTTCACTACTGACTGCAAACTCTGCTGGCAAGCTGTTTTTTCAATTGCATTGGCAGTCATTTTTTCTGTGTTAGTTAAAATGTTACTTGGGTCCCTCAAAATGTTACTTTTCTGTGTCAGAAGAGACCCAGCACCTTCTCTGACTAGCAGTGATGACGTCTCAGTAAAACTCATGTATGCAGAATCCCAAGCACAAGCACCAGTATCTTCTGACTCTGTGTTACCTGCTTTAGCAGCAGAGGAAATCAATTCTGGCTGTTCAACCTCCTCGCAATTAAAAGGAAAAGAGGATCCGCTGGCTAGCGCCTCTTGCTGATGCTGATTATCTACACATGCTGAATTACAGAACTTGCTGTTCACGTGACTCTGAGAAACAGTTTTTACACTATGATCCAGATGGTTCAATGTATTTACTTCCTCACAGTGGGGTTTTTTAATTATGAAATTTCCCATTTTGATATGCTCATACTGAGGCTTCTGCTGTAAGAAAACTCCATCACATGTGGTAAACACCACAGAATTAGATTCTTCACCTTCAAAGTTCTGGACTTCGAATAATTTATTTTGTGATATTTTCACTTTCTTCTCCTCTTCCTCAGTTTCCTCCTCACTTTCCTCAAAAGTACTCAGAGGAGAATAAGAAATTTCACAGTCACTGAAGTCAGCTTTTGACTGTAGTAGACTTGGCTGACTTGTATCTTTCTGACTACACAGATCTTCTCCTGTTCCACTTTCTTGAGAGGATGCAAAGTCATAAAATTCAAATTTACAACTGTTATCTATGGTCTGTGTAAGCTGACATGTCTGTTGAAGCTTTTGAACATCTGCAAAAGAGGAAGTACTTTCACTGATTATATTTATAGACTTCATTTGCGGTGAACTCGGTACCATCAACGTACAGTCATCATTTGGGACATTTTTTACATTATTAGATGGTTTCTCGTTCTGTGAAGTTTCCTCTACGTGACTTGGGGAACAGCTGGGCTTTGCAGCAGTAGAATATGTCACCTTCCTCTCCAAAGCGTTTGCTGAAGAGTTTACAAGATAATCTCCTGCCCTGCTTGCTGCAAGTAGAAAATGGCTATAGCGCTTGTAGTGGGATGGAATGGTGGAAGTGCACAGTAAACCATCAGGACACTCTATGAACACAGTTAAACAGAAGCAACGTCAATATATTTGCAAATATGGTTGGCATATATTTTCAAAATAAAAATCACACATGACACAATTTAAAAGCTTTTTCTTATAAATGCAGCTATTGGAAGGCACAAGTAAAAAGTAATTTTCAAGCTGCCGAGACCTCCTGCCCTGAGCTGGCTAGAAATGAGAATGCTTCCAACCTAAATCAAACAGCTGCTGCTAATACAGCACTATGCCTGAATTAATACAGCCCTCTAACAACAAGAGTACTTACCCCTGTTTCAATACTGTGCTAATGTAATCATATGGCTTCTAGTTTAGAACTGTCTCACATGCAAGCAATGAGCGGAGAGCAGTAGCACCAGAAAAGGCCAGCAGACATGTTTCTAAACAAACCAAATCTCGGTTCTGAATCAACCTGAAATTCCATTTCAAATTGTCTTCTGGGTTACACATTAAATTTTAAAAAACCAAAAAGTCATGTATTTACTTATGTGAAAAAACTATTCAGGATTCAGATGCCAGCAAAATGGCTGTGGCTGTTCCTTTTTTTGTTGAGAGTTTGCTAGCCTAACTTTTGAGGATTTTGAGATGAATGCACAAATCAATCAGATGGATTTTTCATATGTTAATTATGGGAGTAAGAGATGGAAATGAGGTGTTAACACATCTGCCTTAAGTTAAAACTACTGCCAAAATCGGGATTAAAGGGCTCACATTTCATTGTTCTGAAGACGAAACTTTAAGGAAAGTTACAAAGATACAAAAAGAAAAGTGACTGTGTTACCTAAACAGCCTTTACTCAAGTTTCCTGACTGTATGCTTTCTGTTTTTCAAAAGTTATGAGGTGTATTAAGAACATAAGCTGGATACCTGGATCTATTCAGACATAGTATTTCCCCGCATGAAACTAGCAATTGGAATGAGTCAGTTTTATTCCTCTCGTACACAACTCAAAACAAAACTGTGTTGTCTTATGATACAGGAATGTTCATGTATAATTCTATATGAAGTTTCTAAAGCATACTGGATCAGGGGCTAACATTTCAAGTAAATTAGCCTAACAGACTGATTTCAGCTTCCAACTGCCCATAGACAACTGGACAACTCACACAGCAACAAGATACAGGATAATAAAATCTATATCTAGGGAGAAAGAAATTCAGTGTCAAAAGTAGTAGCCTCTTAATTGAAGGAGGTTTTTTTGCTGACACTGACTTAGTAATTGAAACAGGTTCCATTATTTTAAGATGGTAAATACACACCTTCAATTTCTCCAATAAACTACTAGAACTGGAGCTTGATAAACAACCACGAATCTTTATCACTACTCTACATGAGATTAGATTCTGGTATGAGATTTTCATGTCAGATTTCTATGTTCTTCACAAAGAACCAAAATCTCATACGAAAATAATACTGATAAATTATCAGTAATAGCATTCTAAAAATCATACCAACTACCATCTCAGATTTTGAACTAAGTATGAAAACCAAGGTTTACAGCAACATTATGTGAGGAGCCTTTAACTTTTATCTGAAGGCTTTTTTCTTACTCTATTCATACCTTTTCCAATGGATCCTGGAGTATCCAAACATTCAGCAACATGCCATCGAGGTGTCTGGACCAATAGCAAAGAGAAAGGCATCTGGCAGCTTGGACAGTATCCATCATGAACGGGCTTTGTATTTTGTGAGCTCTGTTCGGTCAGGCTACTCACACTTTCCTGGGAGTGCACACTACTGTCATCTTTACATTGATCTACATCCTGATTTGGCCTTGATCTCTGCTCAGTTTTCTGAAGCGTATCAGTTTTTTCTACGGATATTTTTTTACTTCTATTTCTCTTTCTTTTCGGCCTGCACTTGCCATCACTTACTTTCTGCACAGGTGTAGAGATGCTCTCTGAATTACTCTGATGCTTTTGCTTCCTAATGGATTTGTATTCCCAAATGTCCTCTTCGAATAAAGCATCTTCAGACATGGCAACACATGAAATATTCTCCTTGCTTTTAAGCAACAGTTCACAAATTTATCTTTCCTTACGCTAATATGTTTTCTCTTCCCTCCCCCCTTCACTATCTGAAGAAAAGCACCTGAACTCCATTTTAAAAAAGCAACACTGGGCCACAAACCAAACAGCAGTCCGTGACGGGACAGAAGCATGGTGGATCCTACCCTAAAAATAATTTAATGAGCATCTCTTTGAATATTTGTAATTACTCCTGTTAAACAAAACCCGAGCCTGTATGATGCAGAAAGACTTGCAGGGTGAGCCATTTCCTTCAGCTATCCCTCTCGTAAGCACCAAACCCGGCCTCGAAAGGTGAAGCCCAGCCAGACCCGCTCCCCTGACTGCCACCTCGCTGCCCCCAAGTAGGAAGATTTTAAAAGAAAACGACGAAGAGTTCAGCTACGGGATCGCTGCCGGGAGTCACCACACGGCGAAGGCCGACGCCGGCACGGCGCTGCCGCGGGTCCCGCCGCGGGCACCGAGGGCGGCTGCCCCCCCGCAGCCTCCCGCCCCCACC